GTTGGTGGGACTGAAATCGTGATTTAAGAATGGTCATTAAGAATTCTTTACTTTTAAAAGCATGTCCATTATATTTTGATTGCTTTCAGATATTTTAATTCTTTATGCTCCATTACAAACAGAATTGGACACACAAAAAACTACCTTCACAAACATAATAATTCATTCTATAATCAAGGTTGTTTACATTTATAAATTAATGTAAAAAAAAATTTGCAAAATTTTAAACTGGAAGGCTCTTTTTTTAAACAGTTTTCTATCCTGATTGCTTTTATCGTCAGTTTGATCTTCAGCAAAGTTTTAAAATTTAATTTTGTTGTTCTTGTTAATTTATTCTAAGTTCCTTTAAAGTGAATTGGTCTACAATGGAAGGTGTGTAATACTATAAATAATTAGTTTTATTTAGTATCAGCCATAACACCAAACCAGGAAAGAATTGTATAAATATTATGGATGTTGGTAAGTGTGTGATACATGATCAGATATTACAAGTTATATATCTATATAGCAGATGGAAGAAAATATTATTATCCATTATGTAAATGTTCATACTTAATCGCTCAGAACTTCATCAACATTTTTTTTTTTTTTTTCAAAAAATATTTCATAAGAATATCCAGATAATACGTTGTTATTGTTTTTATCAAAATTTGAAATACTTATGGAAAATGTGCCCTTTGCAGACCAATCCACTTTAAGGTATTTCTCAACAACATAAGAAAAAGATGAATGATTTGACATAATCATGAATTAGAAGAACTTGTGTCTTATGCTTGGCAGACCCGATGATTTGCCAAATGGTTCAATTGAAATTGCTTATAATGTAGAGAGCAGTTGAATAAATTGGCAAATTGTTTAAGTCTGTTCTTGTACTCTAACATACCAGACTGTACAAGTCTTCCTCCAGCATGTTACTTGTTCTGTATGGTCTTCGTTGCCAATTAGTTCTTCCATGTGGTTAATGTCAGCAGGTTATTCTTCATTAGCCGAAGGCTTCAAAAACTCCATTTTATCAATCAACTTCCTGTATTTAGTGAATTATTATGATGGACTTCATCTTCATGGTCAATCCTTTTACAAACATCACAATTTCCAGATGTTATATTATTTATGCAATGGTAATTAAAACAGCCACAGGGTTTGTGATCTTTTGTGGGAAATGAGCTTCTATTTTGTTGTGGCCATCTGATTATAGGACTCTAATTGATTCTGGACTTTTTCGTCATTTCTCATAGTTATAACAAAAAATGCACTCTTTTTTCAGCATTCAGAGAGGTAAATGTAATTGGTTAGGAATATAAAATTTAGATAAATGTTTCTAGTAAACTGTATCCATTTGATGATTTGGAAAAAATTACGGATGGAGAATAATACAATTAACCAAATTAAAGTCATTATTGAAAAGGAACTGAAAACCCAGACATAAGATGTGAATGACCTAATTGATTTGATTGTAAAGTAATATCTTACACCCCAGTGTGGCTTTGAAGTATACAGTTACTGGAATATTTACTTTAGTTAGGCATGTGATGTGACATTTATAACCTAGCCTGTCACTACTAATGTGAGAAACTTCCATCCTTTGAACCAGTGTAATTTCTTTCTTTCATCGGTTTATCTCGAAAATAGACATTTACCATTTCAAAACTAAACAAAATCTTATTACAATTGCCTTCATTGGTTTTAAGAATTATGGCTTATGACGTGTTTGGCTTTCTTTAGGGATTCTGTTTTTCTATATTTTATGAAACTTCTTTGATTAACCAATTAGAAATAATGACATGTCCATTCAACTAAAATGAGGAAAAACATTTTTAACCCATCCCGTGCTAAATATCTTATATTGACTAATGTCCATCTTTCAATTTTGCCAAAACTACTGAATAATTTTTGGGGGGAAAATTTCAAAGAAATACTGAATAGCAAGGAATGCAGAATATGACCAGACAGCATGGACGTGCCGGTTGATCTTGATATCTGGACTGGTAACATGGGTAGATTCTGTGACCGCAATCTGGCAGACGCTTAGATATTTAGCTCACCATTCCAGAATTAAGTGAATATTTTGTTAGAGACTGACATTTGGGACTCGGGTCCAAGACCCATTGGTGCAGAATGGAAAGTTAACTGTCACCTTCTTATATGGCACCCAACTATAATGCTAACCTAATTATAACACTCGTATATAGGCTTTTGCTTCCAAAAATGATCTTGTAAAATAATGCAGTTTGCTCCATATGGCTAATGGGTTACCTATATTGGTTGAGACATAAGAATTGCAGTCACCCTTTATCCCTACATGATTATAAGAGAGGACTAATGAGTTGGAATAACTGGAGTCTATTCATCTCTTAACTCCTACAGGTGAGGTGGTTTTGACCCCTGACTGGTGTTGCACACTGAAGGTTAGCCAATCATCTTTCTCCTGTATCTGAGCACCTCAGACCTATTCAGTGTTGGTGTGATGTAAAATCAAACAGGAAACAATGCGATTTGAGGCCATTATATTATTGGACCTTAACTAGGTTGTCAGTGTATTAACTTGACCTTGGCACCAGTGTTTGATGATTGGTTTGACAACAAAATGCTTTGTAACCCTTCATTCTTCATTACTGTTAGAAAAGTTTTTAGGTTCATGTTGTCCTTACAAAAATACTTGGTTGAGGAACACCAAGGATAATTTTAATTTTAATTCTTAATAAATGGGTGCATAACATTTATTTTCTGAAATTATTTTTTTTTAACATAAATCACAGGCAAGTTAATAATTATTGTCCAGGCTATATCATTTGAAAATCTTGGGTTACATTAGGTATAGCAGTATAAAGACAGATTAATTACTTTTTAGATCATTAACCAGCAAATTTGATATACCTGTGAAATGATGGATTTTTGTAATAAATCAAGTGAAATGAAAGAGATTTACCCCAAATTTACAATGTCATTCTGACATGTACAAATTGTATACATGACCTAAAGGCGGCCATATTGATTTGTAAAATGATATAATTCAGTACCATATATTGTTCTAAACTAGATGCATTATAATATTATACTTTATTAGGATATAACTGCTAACAAACCTACAGAATTTCATAAATGAACTTGTCCAGCTTCCAATTTTGGAAGTGTCCATTATTAATTTTGAGGATATGAAGATGAAAATTTGAAGTTCAAGGTCAGCTTACAGTATGGAACCTGGTCAACTTGTACGGATTTGCAGGCTGGCCTGACTGACAAAATACTGGTCGCAAAGCCATTATCACTTTTGGTTCAAGCACGGCAAGTGTTTGGTAACATACGAAAAAGAAAAAATCATCACTTAAGTTTTTTTGTTGTTGTTGTTGTTTTAATCACAGAAATACAACAGCACCTTACTGTCAGACAAACATCTGAACTCTTCACAGCATGTTTGTATACCCTAGGGGCAAGGGAGGTGACTCCATCATTCTACATTATGGAAGCCTGTTTCCTCTCAAAGCCTTAATGTATACAAAATTTAACATAAAACAGAGAGCATGTCATTGGAAAAAGCTTCAAGGTCATTTTTTTTATTCAAATTTTCACTGAAACATTTCCTAGAAATGCAAAATGTTTTATTTCAACTACATGCACTTCAAAACTGTCATTTTAGATTATCATAATATTTTGAGGAGGAAAAAACTTGCAGTTATATTTTGTGTTGATATAGGTTTTGAACTTCCTAACTGGCACTACATTAACCAATCACTTTGACTATATTATAATGAAATATTTGTTCCTTAAACTTAAAGGTTTATGTGCTGAGATAATTGTGTACTTATTAAATTATAATAATGATACTAAATTGGTTTTTTAAGACCTTTATATTCTAATAATTAGAGCAAAATAAAATCACTCGCAATTTCTTCAAAAGTAGTATTTTATTTAATGATAATAATGATACTAAAAAATTTTTTTTTAGACTTTTATATCCTCAGAGCAATAAAAATAACTTGCATTATATTGTAGCATGATATTTTCTGGAATTCAGTGTTTCCGCTTTGAAAATAAAAGCAGTTTCTGAGTCATTTAATATAAGACTGTCTCTAACCATACAACCAGTGGAGGCCAAGATCAGTCAGCACAAACTGTTACCCACCATCTGCTCATTATCTGCACTCAATTTCCCTAAAATTGAAGAGTGTTTTGTCCAGATTGAAATATTGGGCAATTTCATTTAAGATACAATGTATTAAGCAACTGCTAAGGGTTTAAACATGAACAAATTTAGTTTGACTACAAAGAACTTATGGATGGCGATTTTTGAAGTTTGCAAGATAATTAATTTATACTTTTTAGTTGTTACAAAACAAATGTCTTCTTTGGGGAAAATAGACTCAAAAAACAATTCAATACACTTTATGCATTTACATTCCAGTCCTACTGGAATAGCGACTATGTCAGTATGTCATGCTATGTTACTGTACTAATTAGGCGGAGTAACTTAGATACTTAAGCATGTATAATCTGGCTAAAGAAAAAGATTTGTGAACAATAACTTGTATGGTAGTACTTTTAATGTGATGGATATTTAGTTTTGACGTTAACAATTTCAAAGAATTGCTAACTTTGTAAAATATAGTGAGGAAAAAATTTGATTTTGATTTACTTCAATGGCACAAAACTGTAAAGTGATGGACCTTGTTTGTTCTTTGGCAATTTTATGCCAACTAGAATGATAACAGTAAAAAGTGTTTTTGACAATGGCCTCCCTAAAACATTCAACATATTCATTGATTATATGTGAATATTTCTCATTACCATATTTCTGATTATATTCAAGTTTCTTACTTTGTTTTACACTGTACCATTACTAAAACATACTTATGGTTTATGGACGAATGCTTTCCCTCCTTTAGTTTGCTGTTTATGTTCTATTTTTAGGCACTTGTTTGACCTTGAACTTTTGTTTTGTTCTGTTTCCATGGTTATGGTTGCATTGCTATAGTTTCCGTCTTTTTTATTTTCTTTAATTTTAGCAGCACGTTTGTTGGCACATTGAAAAGGACTATGAGTTTGGGTCGTCTTTCTAGAAAACGCACACGCTCAAAATCGTCAGAAATTGTCAGTCACAAAATAAACAGTCAAGACCAGGGACACTTGTAAGTAGCTAGAAATTCTACATGTGCTTAGTTTATAGAATATTGCATGACATTAAAGCTAATTCTAGATTTACTTTTGTTTTGCTGTGTATGATTAATAAAAACACATATTTTCTTGGCCTTGATACTTTTGGGAAACTGTTTTCAGGTACATGATAAAATCGGCCATGTATTTCAGGATTTGATCATTGAAAAACTAAATTTTTGAAATCCATCACTTCTCACTGTAATGTACTGACACCAGTATAATAAAGTGTGACTTCATAATTACCAAAAATGTACTGTATACTATACAATACCAGTTATTTCATTCATTAAAATGAAAAATTGCTTGACATTTTACATTATGTATTCCCAGGATCTGGTTTCCTTTGTTCATAAGCAGAGAAATATGACAGTTTTTATATACAAACATAGTGCTAAAAAGGTTATTTTATCCCTACTCCGTGCAATGTAAAGGTTGTGTAAGTTTGAACTTGCCCTTGCTTTAATTTGAATAATGGAATTGTGTAATATAAGACAAATCAGTCTATCAAAATGCTGAGATGACTTAGCAGTCAAAAGTAAACATTCTGATCAGATTGCTGGGCCTTGAAGTCACATTATCTGGATCATCCCCCTGTTTAAAAAGAAAATATATTCCCCCTATCTTTTTAGCTCACCTGAGCATGTTCAGGGTGAGCTTTTAGGATTGATGATTGTCCGTTGTCCGTCGGCCGTCGTCCATTCACATTTAGTTGTTAACACTCTAGCAGTCGCATTTTTGCCTCAATCATCATCAAATTTGGTCAGGATGCTTATCTAGTTGATAGCTCGGATGAGTTGAAACATGGGTCATCTCGGATGAAAAACTAGGTCATCAGAGCTAAAAATAGAAAAACCTTGTTAACACTCTAGCAGTCACATTTTTGTCTCGATCATCATCAAACATGGTCAGGATGCTTGTCTAGGTGATAGCTTGGATGAGTTTGAACATGGGTCATCTCGGATGAAAAACTAGGTCACTGGAGCTAAAAATAGAAAAACCTTGTTAACACTCTAGCTGTCACATTTTTGCATCAATCATCATCAAACTTGGTCAAGATGCTTGTCTAGGTGATAGCTCAGATGAGTTTGAAACCTTGGTCATCTCGGATGAAAAACTAGGTCACTGGAGCTAAAAATAGAAAAACCTAATTAACACTCTAGCTGTCACATTTTTGCCTAAATCATCATCAAACTTGGTCAGGATGCTTGTCTAGGTGTCATCTCGGATGAGTTCGAACATAGGTCATCTCGGATGAAAAACTAGGTCACTGGAGCTAAAAATAGAAAAACCTTATTAACACTCTAGCTGTCACATTTTTGCCTAAATCATCATCAAACTTGGTCAGGATGCTTGTCTAGGTGTCATCTCGGATGAGTTCGAACATAGGTCATCTTGGATGAAAAACTAGGTCACCGGAGCTAAAAATAGAAAAACCTTGTTAACACTCTAGCGGTCACATTTTTGCCTCAATCATCATCAAACTCGGTCAGGATGCTTGTCTAGGTGATAGCTTGGATAAGTTCAAACATGGGTCATCTCGGATGAAAAACTAGGTCACTGGAGCTAAAAATAGAAAAATCTTGTTAACACTCTAGCAGTCACATTTTTGACACAAGTGTCATCAAACTTGATCAGAATGCTTGTCTAGGTACTTGCTCAGATGAGTTCGAACATGGGTCATCTCGGATGAAAAACTAGGTCACAGGAGCTAAAAATAGAAACATCTTGTTAACACTTTAGTGGCTATTGTTTTGATCAAAATATCCTTGAAATTAATCTGAGAGTTTATTTTGATGATTCTAGGTTAAGTACAAATATTGGTCACCTGGAGTCAAAAACTAGGTCACACCGCCGAAATATGGAAAAACCTTGTGAACACTTTGGTGGCCACCTTTTTGACTCAGTTGTAATCAAATTTGGTCAGGATGCTTGTCTAGGTAATTGCTTTGATGAGTTTGAAATCGCATGTGAAACTAGGTCACCGGACCTAAAAATAGAAAAATCTTGTTAACACTATAGTTGCTACTGTTTTGATCCAAGTATCCTGGAAATTGGTCTGAAAGTTTGTTTTGATGATTTCTAGGTCAAGTTTGAATATGGGTCACCTGGTTAAAAAACTAGGTCACACTGCTCAAATATGGATAATTCTTGTTAACACTGTAGTGGTCACATTTTTGACTCACCTGTCATGAAACATGGTCAGAATGCTTGTCTAGGTAATTGTTCGGATGAGTTTGATGGGTCAGGTGAGCGATCTAGGGCCATCATGGCCCTCTTGTTATAAAAAATATTTCCCACCCCTCCAAGAAAAATGTAGGTATGTGCAGCAAAAATTGCTGGAAATTTTACCTACAAGGAAAACAGCAATGTTAAATTCCTGTTCCTGCAGTTACAGGAACTGTTCCCCTAAAACAGAACGAGATGAACATGCAGTATAGCTACAATGTAGTGTCTTCCCATGTTCATACTCTTGTTATAGATTTTGACTCATGATAGATTGAGTGAAAGTGCCATGATTAAGAGAGAGGCCATCAATAAGAGTCTGCCAGTGAATTTCTGACACACAGAACATGCTATAATCAAATTGAAGCAATGTTATGGAATGTTATTGGACACCATTGAAATGTTAGCTATGTCAGACTGTGACTCTTGCAATGCTGTTACAGGTATTGATCTCCTGTGAGTCATTTATTGCAAAAAAAAACACAAAATGATGAAAACCAGTCAGAAATGGAGGAAAAAGGTCATAGGTCAAGGTTTTCTAAGGTTATCTAGAATATCTGTATGGAATCCTTATATTTGTTGTTAACATACTGATATTGTATTCATTTAATAGCCAAGATATTAAACAGAAGCTATCCAGCTAGCTTGATATAAGTAAAATGGTGGTTCTTATATCAAGGTGGTCTCTTGCGGCTTGAAAAAATGCTTGGAAGGACACCTGTGTGCCTTTACCAGCATGACTGTAGGGAATACCCCTACCCCTTACTCACTCTTCAATAAATGATACAAATGAAAAATAAGAAAAATTAGATGCTCTGTTCTCATTATTCAGATGGTTCATTATAAACTTTTTTTTCAATTTTCATTGTATGTAGTCATATTCCACATCACTTTTAAAACATTTTTTTCCGTTATTTTCATGTATACCATTTCTATTTCTACATTCTTGTGTATTAATCACTTATTCCTGTTTGTATTCATATAATAAAGTATAAGTCATGTTTCATTCTTCTGTATGATATCACAATTCATATTTATCATAACCATTTTGCTATTTTCTGTTACCTTCAGACCCTGTTCATGTGTGACCCCCACCCCAGCTTCCAGAAATACATGGTATGAACATGCACGCTTTCTATCTATTATGCAACAGTCATTTGTTACCCTCGGCCAAACCTCTCCCTTGGGTATATTGGTGAGGCTTTGACTTTTGGAATGTCAAACCCTAGAAAAAGATCCCCAACATTTTCCTGCTAATTTTATACCATTGCACTGACCCAATAGTGCAGTAACAGACAGGGGGCAAAGTTTCCCTCTATCTTCACTACACGAGGGGTTGAAAGGCTGTGGGTAACAATTGACTGGTGCTCATTGCTGATTTAAGTTATAGTTATGTTACCAAGCAGTCTACAGTGACCTCAATACTTTTCAAATGGTAAGTATGATGAGAAATTACCAACCTGATACTTGAAGAAAACTGGTACAATACTGATACAAAACCTTACAACGCATCATTCATCAACATTGTAGTGACCATTTCCTTGCCCTTCATTCCATCCTTCACATATCGTTTGTTATATGTACATGTTTTCAGCTTTAGAGCTTTTATAACAGTAAACAAAGAACATTTTCATTCATGAAAAGTTGCACAATTTAGTTTTGAATAGCAGACATAGAAAATTGCATGATTTTGTTTAAATTGTAGGCATAAAACATTTTCATCTATGGACATTGCACAATTTCATTTAAGGCAGCAAGTAAAGACCATTTTCATTCATGGAAATTCATTGTTTTGCACAATTGTGTGCATGTTTTCCAGACACATCAAAGGGCAAAATACAGATTAGTGAACTAGTACAATGTAAAAAAAAGATTGAGTTAAAAGACCTCTCAGACAGACTAATTGATTTGCTATAATTGATATTCCATTATATTATAGTCTAGGGTATGGAGAACTAAATGTTTTTAGCACGTATTCTATAAATGTTTTATCACATGATGCCACTTGTTCTCAATATACTATAACTATTATGTATTTCCTTTTATGTTACACAAGTTTGATATAAAAATATGTGAGCTATCCCGGGTAATATAGACATCAACTGAGTCAGTTTGAGAATGGCACGTAATTGCAATTTTGATGTTTTTATAATTATGCTTTTTTGACTTTTTAATTTTCATTTACGTTGATAAAAAAAAAGTTACCCTTTTGTTGTCTTTGGAGATGTTTTTAAAAACTTGCAAAAGGGTTTTAAATTTTTAATTTAATTTTCCCAGAAATTGTTTAAAATGGGTTAGCCCGCTGCAGTACCATAAAATCACCCGTACAGAAAGCAGGGCCCTCTGGAAAAGTCTGTACAATTTACTATTGAAAAAAACATTAAAAAATATCTTGAAATTTTTCCTTTAAATTTGGTCAAAATTTTTTTTGTCCAGATTGAAAGATGGGCATGATTTTGTTTAGTAAAAATTTTTTTTAAATGAAATTTTAGTCCTTTCCGTTATTATTATTAGTCCCGTTTTAAAATCTAAAAAGGTTTTCTTTAATTTTTTAGTGTTGGGGGTTTGTTTACTACAAATATAGCATTCCCGTTTTTAAAAAACCTGGGGAAATTTTAGAAAAAAGGGTGGTCTTTGTAAAAAATTTTGTCTTTTTAAAAGGGAAGTCAGAAATTTTAACAAAAAATTGTTCCAATATTCAGAATAAGAATTGTGGCTTTTATGTTTTGACACCATTATTAGGTATTATGGGGTATTTTAAGAACAGATGCACAGGTTTAACTGTATCATGAAAAGTTATCTTGTTGCAGATTTTAATGATTTTTAAGGAGCAGATTAAGCTGTCACATCTGTTCTACTGTTTAATTGATTGGTTATAATTGGAGCCTGTATTATCCATGCAGATTTCAATAATGTTCTGTGTACCAGTCTAAAACTACTGCTGGAAATCAGAGAACCTGTATTCTTGCATTGCAAAATGTTAGACAAGCTTAATAATGTGTAATTGAAGAAGCGTTGTTCCAGATAATGCAAATGTTGCTAGTGATATTTTGCTTGTGGCTGCAGATTTTTTTGTTCGGGTTGGTATTAAAATTGTTAATTAATACCTGAGGACTACAGAGGTAACTGCTAGATATTTGGGTGGGTGTGGTGATATTAAGAATTTGAAATTCTGTCTTCCTAATATCCTACAGTAATTTCTTAAAAGTAATGAAAAGTGCAAGAATGCAAGAAGACAAATTTTCAGACATTGAATCAAATAAATAAATAAAAAAAAAACTTGTGCAGGTATTTTAGAATCATTCCAAGAAGAATTCCATGTGTGAGGAAATTGTAAACTCATATTTTGTATGTATCTGGGAGCTTGAAATCTCGTCTAATCCTTTAATCCTTAAAATTGTACCGAACTGACAAAATTATATAAATTTCATGCAGTTCATTACTATGTAGATATTTGTGTTAATGGGTCAGGAATCGGCTGGCTGACAATAATGAGGTAGATGTAGTAAAGTTATTTTGGCACGGGTTCATCACCATAACTTCAAGTAAGACTGAGGCTGTTCATGATAAGACTGGTAGCTTTTGTTATTAACGAGCTTGGAGTTTGTCCAAAATGTTTGAACAATTTTTAAAGTGTGTTTTCAGTTGCTTATTTTTGGCTTTTCATCATTTTACAGTTATAAAAACACAGGAGTCAGCCGTGAAAGAATATTAGAAAATATGAAAGTATTGTTGCAGCCTGCCAACGGCTTAAATATACATATTATAATTATAAAATGTAACTATATATTAGAACTGCCTGATCAAACTTGACCTGTATAAGACTTGTGCTTTGTTCATTTCTTAGACTAAATGAATAAAACCTTACGTAAAACTTACGAATTACATGTAAAACTATGATAATCTTAGCATAATTTGAACCCCATCATGACAAAACCAACATAATGGGTTTGCGACCAGCATGGATCTAGACCAGCCTGCGCATCCGCGCAGTCTAATCAGGATCCATGCTGTTCGCTTACAAACCCTATAACAAGTAGAGAAACTGATAGCGAACAGCATGGATCCTGATTAGACTGGGCGGATGCGCAGGCTGGTCTGGATCCATGCTGGTCGCAAACCCACCATGTTGGTTTTGTCGTGACGCGGCTCATTTATAGTAAAGGGTTTTGAATAATGATCAAGACTATTTTGTATAGCCTATCAGATGCTATATATTTTCAGATACTTAAGTATTTTACAGAAAAAATTTATGTGAAAATTAATTATGTATAATTAAAGAATATACTAGAGGGGAAAAAAGTAATTAAGAATTTAAGTATGCTGTTCAACAGGAAGATAATTTTAAAAGTCATTAATAAATACAGTGATACATTGTTCTCATTGTCATGGATTACTAATATAAAATTCAATCAAAATCTCTTTCAAATATTTTTCATATTTCATTAAGATAAGGTTTATTTTATTGGACAGTTTGAATGGCAATTTCAGATCTTTATTAGAAACTTACTGTGTATAGTTAATGTATTAGAGTGAGGGAACAATGCCTTTGTATAAAGCATGTAGTGAAAAAATATCTAAAGTGAAGTCAAATTAAAAGATGTCATAAAAACTGTTGAATTTACAAAAATACAAGAATTCATCAAATTTGATGAAGTTGTTATCAAGTGATGCAATTTATTCATATTTCAAGTGTTTGCATTGTTCATGAAAAGATCAAAGTCAAAAGTTTAATTGAAAATAGCAGGAAACTTAAAATAGCATTTGAAAAGTTCCAGTAGGTGCATTTATACAAATTATTGCAGGTCATTTAGTTCGTTTGTATGGTTTAAACACATTTAAACACTATTCCAACAGATTGTTAAATCTTATAAACAGTATGGCAGTCTTAGAGTTGCAGAGAACTCTGCTGTATTCCACAAATAAATAACAACTTCTCCTCTAAACCCTTAGCCTGCTGTTGGCAACTGAATCTACCCATGTGACCAGTGCAGATTTAAGATCAGGTGGCATTTTTGTTTTGTCTTATTCTGGTCTGCAAATTGTTATCTATTAAGTCAGTACAAATTTGTCTCCTTAAACTGATAAATGGTTTTGGTCAGATTTGAAAGATGGACTGGTCCATTTTAAGACATTTAGTGTGTTAAAGATAAAAGACAGCACATAAGAGATATTATGATCAATTATATTATTATTGTGGAAATTATTTCACCAGTACTCTCAGAACTCAAACTTGCTAACTTCCAGTGCATGTGGTCATATTATTTGAGCCGCGTCACGACAAAACCAACATAATGGGTTTGCGACCAGGATGGATCCAGACCAGCCTGCGCATCCGCGCAGTCTGATCAGGATCCATGCTGTTCGCTATCAGTTTCTCTACTTGTAATAGAGTTGGTAAGCGAACAGCATGGATCCTGATCAGACTGCGCGGATGCACAGGCCGGTCTGGATCCATGCTGGTCGCAAACCCATTATGACACGGTTCATTTCTTCCACCGGCTGTAATGACATCGTTTCTAAAAGAAGGTGTTTCCAAGCAGTTTTTGATGATGAAGACTTAAATGTTTTAATTGTAATACCAAAAGAGGTTTAGTTACTTATTAGCATGCTCAGTGGTTTGAATTTATGGTCATAACGGTTAGTTAACATGTGTTCTTATGATTTGGTTTGCAAGGAAAGTATTTTTAAGAATTGATTCAGGGAGATTTTCTTATCTTTCCACTAGGGATGGCAACGAATACCAAAATCAATACTCGAGTACTCGGTCATTTTTCCGATCGAGTACTCGGTTACTCGGATGATTGCCAGTGATCTTCAAAGTTTATCACACAATATCAACACCGTCCGCATGCTACTTTCGTTTTCTATTTAAATTCATAGAACTCTGTAGATAGTAAATAGGACTGCACGGGAGACAAATTAATTATAATTAAATCAACAACATAATATTTTACAACGTTTTAATTAATGCAATATCAATTTTTAAACATGTATTGCAGTCCATATATCTTTTTTTCTTCTTGAAAAAATATAGACTGATCGGCGGCAACAAAAGTTTAACCTGGTCTAAATACTAGTTACCTTTATTCTTACATTCATGATAGCAATCGGCC